TAGGTGATGGATGCTGAGTGAAGCTGAGTGGAGATGGGTGGGGATGGGTGGGGATGGGTGTAGGTATGGATGCTGAGCGAAACTGAGTGAAACTGAGTGGAGATGGGTGGGGATGGGTGGGGATGGGTGGGATGGGTGTAGGTGATGGATGCTGAGCGAAACTGAGTGAAACTGAGTGGAGATGAGTGTAAGTGATGGATGCTGAGCGAAAACTGAGTGAAACTGAGTGAGATGGGTGAAACTGAGTGAAACTAAGTAGATATGGATGTAGATGATGGATGCTGAGTGAAACTGAGTGAAACTGAGTGGGGATGGGTGGAGATGGGTGTAGGTGAGTGGAGATGAGTGTAAGTGATGGATGCTGAGTGAAACTGAAGTGAACTGAGTGGAGATGGGTGGGGATGGGTGGGGGATGGGGTGTAGTGATGGATGCTGAGTGAAACTGAGTGAAACTGAGTGAAACTGAGTGGAGATGGGTGGGGATGGGTGGAGATGGGTGTAGGTGATGGATGCTGAGCGAAACTGAAGTGAAACTGAGTGAGATGGGTGAAACTGAGTGAAACTAAGTAGATATGGATGTAGATGATGGATGCTGAGTGAAACTGAGTGAAACTGAGTGAAGCTGAGTGGAGATGGGTGTAAGTGATGGATGCTGAGCGAAACTGAGTGGAGATGGGTGAAACTGAGTGAAACTAAGTAGATATGGATGTAGATGATGGATGCCTGAGTGAAACTGAGTGAAACTGAGTGAAGCTGAGTGGAGTGGGTGTAAGTGATGGATGCTGAGCGAAACTGAGTGGAGATGGGTGAAACTGAGTGAAACTAAGTAGATATGGATGTAGATGATGGATGCTGAGTGAATCTGAGTGAAAGTTTGTGAAACTGACTGAAGTTGAGTGGAGATGGGTGTAGGTGATGGATGCTGAGTGAAACTAAGTGGAGATGAGTGTAAGTGATGGATGCTGAGTGAAATTTAGTGAAACTGAATGAAATTAAGTGGAGATGGGTGAAACTGAAGGGTACTGAGTGAAACTAAGTGAAACGGAATGAAAAGGATGAAGCTGAAAGAATACTGAGTCTAACTAAATGAAACTAAATGAAAATTATGAAACTAACGGTACTGAGTGAAACTGGGTGAAAATGGATGAAACTAAATGATACTAAGTGCAACTGCTTAATGTCGAGTAGACCCGAGTGTTAATTGGCGAAACTGAATGAAAATGGACGAATCGAAGGAACTTCAAACGAAACTGAATGAAACCGAGTGAATCTAGATGAACCACAGGGACGCTGGACGAAAAAACGAGCGAAACGGACGGATAAATAAAAACCTCTAAATCTCGAATAAAACTGAACGAAAAAATCTGCGAAAAAAAAAAAAATGTAAGACCTTGCAAACCGCCCCTCCCCCCCCCCCCAAACGTACGTAAGTAAAGAACAGATTCAGAGCTTTTCGTCCCAAGGAAGGAAATTGCGGATCAATAAAGTTTATATCAACCTCCAGATAACTTCTTTCTTTTTTTCCTGATTTCGTTTCTTTTTTTTTTTTTTTTTTACTTTTTTTATCTTTTAGTCTTTTTTTTACTTTTTATTATTATTTTTTTTTTTACTTTTTATCTTTTTTGTACTTTTTATCTTTCTTTTTAACTTTTTATTTTCTATTTTTTAATTTTTACTTATTTATTTTTTCTTTTCTCTTTTTCATTCTTTAAGGAATCTTGTATAAACAACATATATTTTCTCTTCAAATCCGAGTGCTATTTATATCCCATCCCGATATTATGATGCAATCGCTTGGCGAGAGACTTCAAGACATTGGAGAAATTCCTTGGTTAATTGGTCGCTTTCTTGGAGGACTATTTGGTTTCTTGGGGCCTCGTTGGTTCTCTTAGTGGATTGGTGGTGTCTCGTTATTCTGGTTGGTTTTTCTGGATTGACTGGGTTTCTGGATTGACTGTTTGGTTTCTACGTTTTCCTGGTTGGTTTCTGGATTGACTGCTTGTTTTTTTTCTCGCTTTCCTGTTGGTTTCTGGATTGTCTGGGTTTCTGGATTCTGGTTGGTTTCTACGTTTTCTTGGCTGGTTTTCTTCTCGTTTTCTGGTTAGTTTCACGTTTTTTTCTGGTTTCTGGATTAACTGGGTTTCTCGCTTTCCTGTTGGTTTCACATTTTTCTGGTTGGTTTCTGGATTGACTTGCTTGTTTTTTTCTCTCTCGCTTTCCTGTTGGTTTCTGGATTGTCTGGGTTTCTGGATTGTCTGTTTGGTTTCTACGTTTTCTTGGCTGGTTTCTGGATTGACTGTTTGGTTTCTTGGGGCCTGTTGGTTTCTTGATGGATTGGTTGGTGTCTCGTTCTCCAGGTTGGTTTCTGGATTGTCTGGGTTTCTGGATTGACTGGTTTGTTTCTACGTTTTCTTGGCTGGTTTCTGGATTGACTGGTTGGTTTCTTGGGCCTCGTTGGTTTCTTGATGGATTGGTTTGGTGTCTCGTTATCCAGGTTGGT